AACACTGACTGACTTCCCTTCATCTCGGTTTCGGAATGTGTTATAAAATTTTTCTATCTGCAGTTTCTTTTCCTCAAAAAAAAAATTTCTTTACATCACAAGTGTTCTATCGCACCTACTGTGTTTTTTAGTTTTTTTTACCTCTGTTTCCATGTATGCCATGAATTTATTCCAATCTTTATTAAACTTTGTGTCTTTTTGATTTCTTATTTTCTGTGTCATTTTTGCCAATTCTAGATAGTCGAGTAGTTTCGATTGCCATTCATTTATGGTTGGGATTCTTGGTGTCTTCCAATTCTGCGCTATTAGAGTTCTGGCGGCCACTGTCGCGTACTGAAAGAGTGTTTGATCTTCCTTTTTGATTTCCTCTCCAATTATCCCCAGCAAAAAGGCTTCAGGTCTTTTTATAAAGGTATATTTAAAGATTTTTTTTAGTTCATTGTAAATAGATTCCCAAAATTTTCTAATAGGCTCGCACAACCACCACATATGATAAAAATCGCCCTCCTTAATCTTCCAGCATAATTTATCACCAGTTTTATATATTTTTTCCAGTTTTACGGGCGTTACGTACCACCTGTACATCATTTTGTACATATTTTCCCTGAGTGTTGTGCATGCCGAGAATCTCATACCTTTATTCCATAGTGCCTGCCATTTATCAAACTCTATGTTATACCCAAAGTCCATTGCCCATCTCACCATTACCTCCTTTACTTCTTCATCTTTGGTGTCCCATTCGAGCAACAGGCTATACATTTTCGATAGGAGTTTTGTTTTACTTTCTAATATTTCAATCTGGAATCTAGATTTTTCTCACTTATCCCATTTTTTTTATCCTCGGTCCAGATAGAGTTGATTTGATGAAATTGGATCCAACCTGTCAATTTGTTCTTTATTTCTTCATATGGCCTAATCCTCCAACCGGTCTCTGTTTTTACTAATAAATCTTCGTAGGTCCATCTTTCTCCTTCGATATTTGTTTTTTTTTATTGTCAGGATATCGATTGGCGAAAGCCACCAAGGGGTATTCTGTTCCAATAATTTTTTATTTCTTTCCCACACCTCCAGTAATGGCCCTCTGAAGATATGGTTAGAAAATCCTTTATGGATCTTTCCCTTATTACGCCATAGGTAAGCGTGCCAACTGAATCTTAAATCAAATCCTTCTTGTCAGGGGTTCAGGAGCAGAGGCAAGGGCAAGGGAGGAAACAGAGAGCGAGGGGGAGGAGGCAGAAGAAAAGATGAGTGATGACGACGACCCGAGATCTCCGAGTCTTTCCAGTGAATCAGAAGATTCACAGAAAGGAGCACCAGTGGCCAGGGCAAGGGGGGAGCCTAGGGGGACGCCCCAGGAAGATAGAGCCAGAGGGGACTCAGAGGGGAGCAGTTGGAAATCGGGACCAGCGTCACCGCCAGAGAGCAGGGAAGAGGAAGGGCGCCAGGGATCAAGCGCTGGCAGCTCACAACAGGGGGGAGGGCACGAGTCAGGAGTGGCCACACCTCCATCGGGGAGCGAAGAAACGGTCAGACGGAAGGTGGAAGGTTGGGCGCGCGCCAAGTTCAAATGCACAGGAAGGTGGCACAGTAGGCAGCCCGGAAAGGGAGCCAGGTCCTAAAGCCCGCCGAAAGGAGGGAGAAGAGTCGGGGGGTCAGCGTCAGCGTCAGAGGAATCCCGGAAAGAAGAGACCCCAGGGGGCAGAGGGACCCAGAGAAGAACAGTCAGGCGGAAAAGGTGGAGCAGGGCTAGGATATTAAGTTGGTGTACAAGGGGCGGAGACTCAGACGGAGCTTCGCCGGTCTAACCATGAGACGTAGAGTTGCACGCAGCAGTTTGAGAATGGAAACTGTAACTCAATAAAGACTTTTGTTTAATGATCGCTGGCTAGCGTGATCCTCTGTGAGCTAGGATCTGGAAGCAGCTCTGACAGTAAGCTCCGTCTCTATAAAATTGTGGGCATCTACGGCCTCGCGGAGAGGAGAGAAAGCGGGTGCCTACTAGCGAGCTCACGAAAGGCAGACAATATGACGGCCGAACAGCAGATAGCGGAACTCAGAGAAGCAGTGTCACGACTGAATGCCGAGGCTCTTGCATCCAGGAAGAGAGAGGAGGACGCAGCTGCCGCCTACAGGGATCTCCAGGTCAGGTTGGAAGTGCTTACGAAGCAAGGGCAACTGACACCCAAACCGGAGGGGATTGGGTTGGGGAGACGAACAGGCGGTCTGGTCTCTCACTTCGATGGGAATTTGCAACAGTACCCCAACTTTAGAGCAGATGTAATGTGTGCACTGCAACTGCTGGACAAAGACTTTAGAGATGAGCAAGAGAAGGTGGGATTCATCATGTCCCATTTGCATGGAGATGCTAAAGCATGGCTGCGCAATTTGTGGAGAGATAAGGATCCGGCGCTCCAAAATGCGGATGCCTTTATTAAAGCGATGGATGGGTGCTTTTTATCAAGCATTGACGTGGATCTTGCTCGGCAGCAGATACATGGACTGAAGCAAGGGAGGGCCAGCGTAAGGCAGTACCATGCCCGCTTTTCGCTTTGGTCAGTGCTCTGGAATGGGACAGAGATTCGGCTCCTGTAAGAGACCTGTTTTGGGAGGGATTGCACGGCTCGGTTAAAGATGAAATTGCGAGGGGGGAGAGACCCCGGACCACGCAGGAGATCGTTCAGAGGGCGCTGGCGGTGGGGGTGCGGCTGGAAGAACGTCCGTGGAGCAGGGACGAAGGGCGTGGAGGGCGCGAACCAGCCAGGGGCTCCTCCTTCCTTCCCAGAGAAGCAGCGCGTGCGCAATCCACGCCTCCGCCAGGAGGAGGAGCGGAACCTATGGAGGTTGGAGGTGCAAGGGCTCAGTCAGCAGCCAGAGCCCTAGCACCGGCAGCAGTGAAAGCGAAGCCTCCTAGAGGGAACAGGAAGTGTTACATCTGCGATGCTCCACAGCATATGGCGAAAGAGTGTCCCCAGAGGCTCCACAAGCACACTGCAGCTTCAGCAATGGTAACTGCAGCAACGCAGCAAGGAGAACCACAGCAGGGAAACGACGGAGTCTGGTTGGAGGAAGAGGCACTGGGGCCCAGCCAGACGTGTCAGTGAAGCAGTCCCCAGAGATTTTACAGCCCATGGACCCCCTCCCGCCCAAACCAGTAGTGAGGCTCACCGCGTCGCTCCAGCTGCCCAATGGAATCACCATGGACGTGCCAATCACCATTGACTCCGGAAGCAATGCGGACTTTATAGGGCAGGACTTTGTCGACCGGCACGCTATACAGTTGCTGCCTGCCACGCTGCCCCTGCAGGTTGTCACGGTGGATGGCAGGGAGCTGCTAGGGGGGCAAGTGGTGAAGCAGACGCCACCAATGGTGATGCGGCTTGGGAATCACAGGGAAATCATCAGCTTCAATGTCACTCAACTATCGGACACGCCCATTGTATTGGGCATGAGTTGGCTGGACAAGCACAGCCCGACGCTGGCTTGGTACCAGAGGCAGCTGACCTTCGGCTCTTCCTTTTGCGCTGAACACTGCATCGTGCCCCGGCAGGAAGGAGAGGAAGAGGAGTCACAGCTGCAGCTAGGCACGCTGCAAGCGGTTCCCCACAAGTACGCAGAATTTTTGGAGGTTTTCTGCGAGAAGGAGGCAGACAGGCTACCCCCACAGACCATATGACTGCAAAATTGACCTGCTGCCGGGGGCGGCGCTGCCCAAAGGGAAGCTGTATTCCATGTCTGAGGACGAACTGCAGGAACTCAAAGAGTTCATAGATCATAATTTGGAGCGCGGTTTCATCCGAGAGTCCAAGGCAGCGGGGGCAGTCCGGTATTCTTTGTTAAGAAGCGGGACACGCCCCAGAAAAGACTTGTAGTGGACTATCGCATTTTGAACAGCGTGACCAAGCCATCGGACTTCCCCATGCCCCGAATCGACGACCTCCTCGCAAAGGTACGGAAGGGCAGCGTGTTCACTAAGTTGGACCTGCGAGGGGCGTACAACCTCATTCGCATGCGGGAAGGAGATGAGTGGAAGACAGCCATGTTCACGCCCCTGGGCACCTACGAATATAGAGTTATGCCTTTTGGATTGCAAAATGGTTCCCACGTTTTTCAAGCTTTCATGCATCACGTGTTGGCGGGGCTCCTCTACAAGACGTGCGTCTGTTTCTTGGATGACATCCTGATCTTTTCGGAATCGCAGCAGGAGCATGACAGACACGTCAAGGAAGTGCTGAGCAGGCTACAGCAACATAGGCTTTACGCCAAGCTGGAGAAGTGCCAATTCGACGTGACGGAGGTGGATTTCCTGGGCTACAAGTTGTCTGATAAAGGGCTCGCCATGGACAGCGCCAAGGTCCGAGCAGTGTTGGATTGGAAAAGCCCACGCAACCGGAAGGAGGTCCAACGGTTTGTCGGCTTTGCGAACTTCTATCGCAAGTTTATCAAAGGCTTTGCCATGCAGACAGCGGCCATCACGGACACGCTCAGCTCCAAGAAAAGAAGTTCATCTGGACAGAGCAGGCGGAGCAGTCCTTTCAGGCACTCAAGCCGTCTCTTCGCGTCGGAAGGGCAACTGCTTCATGTCAACCCCAGCAAGCCGATGAGGGTGGAGACAGACGCTCGGACAGAGCCGTGGGAGCAGTCCTGCTGCAGAAGGACCCGCAGGGGGTTTGGAGGCCGGGAGCGTTTTACTCAAGGAAGCTCAGCAAGTCCGAACAGAACTACACCATCTGGGACAGGGAGTTGCTGGCCATTCATGCAGCGTTCAAAGCGTGGAGGCACTTCCTGATCGGCGCCAAGCACACGGTGCAGGTCTGCACGGACCACAAGAATCTAGAGCACTGGCGCACGGCACAGTTCCTGAACCAGAGGCAGATACGTTGGGCTGAGTTCTTTGCGAATTTCGACTTCCGAATAGAGTATGTCCCGGGGACACCAACATCATGGCGGATGCTCTCTCCCGTAAGCCGCAGTATCTGGAGGAGGCAACGCCAGCGGCCGCCATGCACATCTTCGCACCGACAGTGTGGGCGTGCACGGCGGCAACAGTTGACCTGGAGGCGGTGCGACGAGCGTTGCAGGATGACTCCTTCGCGCAAGCAAAGATGGCAGAGGCGCACAGGGGCACGGCAGCGACCGACGAGTTCCAGCTGCGAGATGGTTTGCTCATCCGTAAAGGGGCCATCTACGTGCCGGGAGACGAACTTCGCGCCAAGGTACTGCAGCAGCTGCACGACGCGCCCACTGCCGGGCACTTTGGCAAGGAGAAGACGGTGGAATTAGTAGCCAGAGACTTCTGGTGGCCAGGAATGAGAGGGGAAGTCGCGGACTACGTGGCGAGGTGTGACACCTGCCAGAGGGCCAAACCAGTGCACAGACCGCCGGCCGGATTGCTGGAACCGCTGCAAACTCCGTTCGAACCATGGGAGAGAGTGGCCCTGGACTTTGTCACGGATCTGCCCAGCTCGAGGGGCAAGACGGCTGTGCTGGTGGTGGTGGACTTGTTCTCCAAGATGGCACATTTCATTCCGTGTGCGAAGGTGGCCACGGCGGAACAAACCGCCAAACTGTTCATAGACCACGTGTTCAAGGTTCACGGTCTGCCGCGGTCTATTCTGTCCGACCGAGGGCGACAGTTCATCTCGAACTTCTGGCAGAGGCTGATGGGCTTCCTGAACGTCAAGATCAACCTGGCGTCGGCTAGACACCCGCAGACCAATGGGCAAGCGGAGCGGGTCAATGCCATCATGCAGCAGTACCTGAGATGTTATGCGAATCAACAGCCTGCGACGTGGGTGGATTACCTGCCTCTCGCCGAGTTTGCCTACAACAACACGAAGCACGTGTCCACGGGGGTCACGCCGTTCTTCGCCAACAACGGGAGGCACCCCAGAACCTTCCCGGGACTGGAAAGAATGGGGGAGGGGAGCCGCAGACAGCAGATGCATTCGCGTCGGAGTTGCAGGAGGTCCACGATCAGCTGCGGCGGCACCTGGAGCTGGCTAAACACGCATACAAGGTACAAGCGGACAAACACAGAAGGGTTGGCGAAGAGATCCATGTGGGAGACTGGGTCTGGTTAGCAGCCCACGCAGTGCCGGCCAGGTCGTTGGCGAAGAAGAAACTAGGGCATAAACAACTGGGGCCCTACCAAGTCGAAGAACAGGTCAACCCGGTGGCTTTCAGGCTGGCTCTTCCGGAGGGTTCCAGAATGCATCCGGTGTTCCACAGATCGGTGCTCACTCCATACAAGGCACCTCACAGGTTTCAGGAACCAGGAACGGCACCGGGTCCGCTCCGAGAGAGAACCGGGCAGGGGGGAGTGGCACGGGAGGAGCGCATCAACGAAGTCACGGAGATTTTGGACTCCAGATGGGGGGGAAGAGGGGGTAGAATACCTTCTCGCCAAGGAGGGCACCCCGGCCAGTGCCAACAGCTGGGTGCCGGGCTACGCTTTAGACGAACCTCTGCTCAAAGAAGAGTTTCATGCCCTCTTCCCACATAGGCCAATGCCAGCAGACTTTTTCGACGACTGGCTTTTCACGCCCACGCTTTCAGCCAGCACGTTCCGGGGCTTCGACTCGGACGAGGAACCGACACGAGACGCCCGTTCCCCGGAGGGGTCACCCTCGGGATCTGCTTCAGAACCCTCGTATTGGTGGGATGATCGACCAGAGGAGCAGTTCCGCAGAAGGTGGCTGGAGGGTCCAGGACGAGCAACGTCTCCAGAAGGTAACGAGGGAGAGACGGACATGGACGCTTCGGGACGACCCGGGTTTCGAGCACGGCGGCACAGAGATGGAAGCGGAGGTGACCGTCGTCAACGAGAGCAGGGAGGAAGAACCGGAAGACTTCAGATGGCGGCCCGCCACGGGAAGCGAACTGTATCCGACATTCGTCCCCGACACGGCAGCACCCAGATCCCGCACCGGAAGGAGGGGAGGGGGGAAGAGGGGCTTCGAGGGGGATGGATGTCAGGGGTTCAGGAGCAGAGGCAAGGGCAAGGGAGGAAACAGAGAGCGAGGGGAGGAGGCAGAAGAAAAGATGAGTGATGACGACGACCCGAGATCTCCGAGTCTTTCCAGTGAATCAGAAGATTCACAGAAAGGAGCACCAGTGGCCAGGGCAAGGGGGGAGCCTAGGGGGACGCCCCAGGAAGATAGAGCCAGAGGGGACTCAGAGGGGAGCAGTTGGAAATCGGGACCAGCGTCACCGCCAGAGAGCAGGGAAGAGGAAGGGCGCCAGGGATCAAGCGCTGGCAGCTCACAACAGGGGGGAGGGCACGAGTCAGGAGTGGCCACACCTCCATCGGGGAGCGAAGAAACGGTCAGACGGAAGGTGGAAGGTTGGCGCGCGCGCCCAAGTTCAAATGCACAGGAAGGTGGCACAGTAGGCAGCCCGGAAAGGGAGCCAGGTCCTAAAGCCCGCCGAAAGGAGGGAGAAGAGTCAGGGGGGTCAGCGTCAGCGTCAGAGGAATCCCGGAAAGAAGAGACCCCAGGGGGCAGAGGGACCCAGAGAAGAACAGTCAGGCGGAAAAGGTGGAGCAGGGCTAGGATATTAAGTTGGTGTACAAGGGGCGGAGACTCAGACGGAGCTTCGCCGGTCTAACCATGAGACGTAGAGTTGCACGCAGCAGTTTGAGAATGGAAACTGTAACTCAATAAAGACTTTTGTTTAATGATCGCTGGCTAGCGTGATCCTCTGTGAGCTAGGATCTGGAAGCAGCTCTGACACTTCTAAATCTAGCAGATCTTTATTTTTTATAATAATCCAATCCTTGACCCAACAGAGGCATGAGGCTTCATAATATAACTTTAAATTTGGGACTGCGAATCCTCCTCTATCTCTTTGGTCTGTGAGTAATTTGAATCTAATTCTCGGCCTTTTTCCTTGCCAGATGAATTTAGAAAGTATTTTCTGCCAGCCCTTGAATATTGATGTTCCCCTGATTATTGGTATATTCTGAAATAAGAATAGCAGTTTCGGTAATAGACTCATTTTTATTGCCGCCATTCTCCCCGACCAGGATAGCTTTATTCTATTCCAGGTATCTAAGTCCTTCCTTATTTCTTTCCATGCGGTTGTATAATTATCTTTCATCAAATTAATGTTCTTTGTCGTTAACCAGATTCCAAGGTATTTTACTTTTTTGGTTACTTTAATTCCAGTCTGAGATTCAAGGTGGTTTTTTACCTTCTCTTCTACATTTTTAATCAACATTTTAGTTTTTGTTCTGTTTAATTTAAAACCGGATAGTTTTCCGAATTCTTCTAACAGATCTAACACCTTACTGACACTCTCTTCTGGATCCTCCAAAGACAACATAAGGTCGTCAGCATAAGCTTTCAATTTGTATTCTTTCACTCCTATTTTTATTCAGCGTATCTCTGAAGTTTTTCTTATCTTATTTGTAATTATCTCTAACATCATAATAAACAGAAGATGTGACAGAGGGCACCTCTGCCTAGTACCCTTCGAGATTTCAAAGGGTTCTGTTAAGTTATTATTAATAATTAGTTTAGCACTTTGCTGTGAGTAAATTGCTTTTATTCCTTCCAGGAATGTGCCCTCTATCCCTGTCATTTCCAAACATTTTATAAGAAAACGCCAGGATACGTTATCGAATGCCTTTTCGGCATCAATAAACAGTATAGCTGCAGGGATTTCGTTTTTGCATTCTAAGTACTCAATGATATTTATTGTATGTCTTATTGTCAGGGCTGCCTCAAGTCTCAGCTCACAAAAGACCAACGCCAATCTCTTCTTATATACAAAAGTGTTTATTGCAGTTCATTGTTAGCTTCACATCCGAGGCGCGCAGCCCCACGTCTGTTACGCTTAGACCGTTGAAGTCCCCTCTGAGTCAGTCCCTCCCCTGCACCAGTTTAAGAAGCTTGCGCTGCTCCACCTCTTCCTCTCTTTCCTTTTCCGCAGGGTCTTCCTGCCCCCTGGGGTTTTGCCCCTCCTGCATTCCCCTGACGCGGAATCCCCAGACTGCTCTTCCCCCCTCCTGCGGGCTTTGGGACCTGGCTCTTCCTCCGGGCTCCCTGTACTTCCGCGCGCCTCTACATTTGAACTTGGCGCGCGCGCCCAACCTCTAACCTTCCTTTTGACAGTTACACTACTCCCTTCACTACTCCCTCCCCTTCCGGGAGGGTGGCTTGCTCCGACCTCCCTCCTTTCTCTGCTGCCGGAGCTGCTTCCCTGATACACTGGAACCTCCACCCCTTCGCTGCACTCTGGCGGGGAGGCTGGTCCTGACGCCCAGCTGCCACTTTGGGATCCCCTGCTGGCCCCCTGTTCCTGACACGTCCCCCTGGGGCTCCCCTGGCCCTGACCACCGGCGCCCCCTTCTGGGAATCCTCTGATTCGCTGGAAAGACTCATGGAATCTCTTGAGTCATTGTCATCCTCTTCCTCGCTGTCCTGGGATTCATCCCCATCGCTCTCCATCTCCTGCCTACCCTGTGCCTCTGTCCCTGAACCCCTGACACTTATGTTGTCTTTTATTTGCCTATTGGGTAAAAAACCAGCCTGGTCGGTATGGATAAGATTAACTAGGCATTTTTTAAGTCGAGTTGCCATTATATCTGCATAGATCTTATAGTCATTATTCAATAGTGAAATCGGTCTGTAATTCTTAATATTTAGCCTATCCGAGTCAGGTTTCGGTATCAGCGTAATGTATGCCTCTTTCCATGGCGCTGGTGTTCTTCCTTCTCTTAAATCTCATTCATTACTTCACATAGCACTGGTGTAATAAGTTCTTCTAGGACTTTATAATACTTGGCTGACAATCCATCTGGGCCTGGGGCTTTCCCCAGTTTCATCCTCTTTATCGCCTCTTGAATTTCCTCTGTTTTTATGGGTTTATTTAATAAATTTCTTTCCTCTTCCGATATACTGTTGATTCTGTTTTCTTCTAGATATTTTCCCATTTCTATTTCATCTTCTTCTTCTCTTTTATATAGGTTTTCATAGAATTTAAGGAAGCTCTTTTTTATTTCATTAGGGTCTTCCAAGATTTGTTCTTCTACTTTTATTTTATTAATAAGATTTTGTTTTCTTCTTTTCCTCAACTGCCACGCCAGGAACTTTCCAGTTTTATTTGCAGATTCAAAAAATTTTTGTTTCATTAACTTAATTCCCCATTCTACCTCTTGATTTATTAATGTTGAATATTGTGCTTGTATCATCTTATACAGTTGC